TTAGGACCGGAAAAATCGGAAGAAGTAGTTTTTCTAGAGTATCTCAAAAAATTTATTTCGAACACATCAACTACATGATATTACAAAGTGAAACTCTCTAAGATACACTCAACCAAATCGACACTAGAGTATCTCATAACTTTTATTTCGAACACGTTCAACTATGTATTATTATAAAGTGGTACTCTCTAAGATACACTAAACCAAACCGACCCTGTCTTATCGTCTCCAATGCTGAAATTTTCTTCCTGTTTTTTTCCTCTGGGGGCAGAGATGGGGAATCTCCAAGATGATAGAATTCTACCTGAGATGGAAGCTCCCACTCAAGAAACATGGGATGGTACCAGAACTCAGCTTCTTCCAAGACGTTTCCTCGTGCCACACATGCATGTTGCCCGACAAGTTCTACGACAGGGTGGAAGAAGGAAGCATCGTCATCAAGAAATCCAAAACCATAAGCTTCTGCGAAACTGGCATCGTGATCGGCGACGGTCGATTGGAGCCTGTCGTGGAAGCAGATGTAGTGATCCTGGCGACAGGTTACAGGGGAGACCATAAGCTCAGGGACATCTTCGATTCCCCTGCTCTGCAGAAAACCATCACTGGGTCTTCTTCCATTGTCCCACTTTACAGGTCAGAGACTCAATAACTTCTTATAACTCAATTTTGATCCCGCTCGATTTATGCGACCTATTTGACTTGTTTTAAAGCGGAACGGGTATGGGTATTCTCCTCGACCTGACTTGTCATGTCTCATGTCTTGACCCATCATATTCTCAACCTGTTTTGTCCAAATTACATGTACTTTTACTCAAATTATTTATAATTTTAATTCTTTTTAGCTATAATGAAGCTATACATATGTGAGAACCTTAATTTATTGAATAATTTAATTACATTTATCATATTACACCTTATTCTTGGGGTTTTAATGAAAAAATTAAAAATTCTAATATTTTCCTTTTAAATTACATACTAATATGTGTAGACCTGCCCGACCCCACACCCATAATAAATTATTCGATTTGGCCCCACCAGCCACAAGACGAGTATGAGTATCGAGATACCTTCTTCGAACCCCGCCCCATTGACATTCCTACTTCAAACACGAAGGCCACCTACAATTTTTCTTTTCTCCTGATGGGTTTTGGAAATTTTGTTGTTTAGGCAAGTGATTCATCCTCGGATCCCACAGCTAGCGGTGATCGGGTACGCGGAGAGCCTGTCGAGCCTGTCCGCGACGGAGATCAGGTGCCAGTGGCTGGTGGAGTTCCTGGCGGGGAAGTTCGAGCTTCCGAGTGTGAGCAAGATGGAGGAGGAAGTGAGGGTTTGGGAGAAGTTCTTGAGGAGGCACAGTGGAGGGAAGTCTAGGAGGGCATGTATCAGCAACTTCCACATATGGAATAATGACCAGTTTTGTAAGGACATGGGGTTGCAGAGTAGGAGAAAGAAAGGGTTTTTGAGGGACTTGTTTATGCCATATGGACCTGCAGATTACACTGGTCTTCTTGCTGACTGAAAGTTCATAAGTCCCTTTTTCCCCCCCAAAGGTTCAATTCTTTGCCATTTGAAGGGGAAGGAGAGATGTGTTATGTGGTAAGTGTAGTTGTTTGGTGATTTTTTTGTACAGAGCAATTTGTACTTGTTTTTAGCTTGTTTGGGTTTTTTTCATGTATAATAGGAGGAAACTAGTTTATGAGTATGGCCCAATCCACTGAAAAGAGAAGGAATTCCAAATGTTGCAAAGAGTTGATGCCTTCATTTTTTTTTTTTTTGGTCTTTTCTTGACTTTCATTTTTTGCAAGTTTTTTCAGTGGTAAGTGGATTTAAGACCATTTAAGCTCACTTGTAATAGCAATCACATGAATAGTTTGATAGTGGTTTATTGTATGTGTAATGTGTCGTGCCTCATTATAAAACTTTGAGAGGTAATTATAGATGTATATAGCGTAGTCACAAAATTGGAGCACGGTTCATTATGGAAAATCGGAGGTTATTGTTTAAGGATGAATTTTGTGATCCGTTGTTGATAAACCTACATGAGTCCATGGATTACCGGCTCTCCTGCTCTCATCCTATCTTGACTCTCAAGAAGCTTCAATTTTTAATTATAACAAAAATAATATCATCTTTAACATTTTATATTTACTAAATGATGAATTAACATCATTTTAACATTAAATTACCCTATCAAGTTTCAAGTTCTAATGAAAATATGACTCGTCTTGAATCTAAGTTATACAAAAATAATAAATTAGTATGGATAATGATACCAATCGGTAGTTTACATGGACTATCTAATATGTTTACAACCTGGGCTAAATGATGAACATAAGGAGAATATGTTACAATCTTTATCTTAGAATAATGAGAATAAAGGAGAAGAGACGACTTGTCTAGAGTATATTTTTAATATTCGATTCATACAGATATCTGAAAAGTTACTTACAATACGGTAGGATTCATACAATTACGCTCACGAGTTCGAACATCCATGTACAAATATTTACAATTAATTATCTATAAATGACCACAGAGTTTTACCTTTTTGCCATCTCATTATTCTCACTTTAGATTTTTAATTGGAAATGGTTACATTGGCTTCGTTGATTATGATCTGATTTGAAGATGCTTATACGAAGAATAGAGACATGGAATCATTCAAAGCCCAAAATTTGAAATGGATCTCAACCGGTGGGCAGCTGAAGCCCGAAGTTTGAAACAAAGGCCCGGCATGAGGCTGCCACGGCCCATGATGAGACTATCAATATAACTAGTTCTTCTAAGAAGGTAGAACCTCCAATTAGTTAGATCCAAGACCGTAGAAAATAATAAGGCCGAAAGCTAAGAACAAGACGATTTACATGGTATCCTTATTTGATATGAACAAGACTCGTCCACAAAAGATAATCCGTAGCTGCTGCCTATAACCACATTAATATAGCATAATAATACACCCATTCTTAATCTAATCCACTAGAGTTAGCCTAGATAATTCCTCTTTACACCAACAACTATATAACGTGTACACGTAAGAACAAAATAGCTATAGCTTGTGGCCTCGTGGCACCATTTAGGCTCTTTAGCTTCACCTACCTAATTACCTTCTAGCCTTATGGTAGTAATTAATTTCGTGATTATACGACTAGCTTGCATAGTAAACCCATAGATTAAGGCTTTGCTGCTTTGTCAAGGTCAGACATTGATCCAACATAACAACCCAAAACAGGGCTTGGCGACAAGTTAAGAGCTTAGTTTTGGAGATATCACTTCTTTTAATAGGAAAAGAGACCACCAAAAGGGTCGTTGGAGTTGACATCTATAAACTTCAAAGTTAAAAGTAAATATCAACTTACTTATTACACTGCTCGATAAGTATTGTTAGAGACTCATAAATTGCATGGTTAGTGTTTTCGGATCACATTTAAGGTATCAAAACTCGTAATCGAATATAATTTTTCTGATCCGTACTAAATATATTGTTCATGCACTATGAAAATTAGAATACGAAATCTTATGTACGATGCAAAAATATCGATAGGACAATGACCTTATGGTGTACTCTTTTTGGCTCAATGATTAACAACTCAATTCCCTTGGACAAAAGATTCATGGTTTGCCAAGCTGTGATTGTTCCCCAAATAAGACATAATGGAAGAACAAACCAAAGTGGGGATTCATGGAAGATATACAAATTTTTTGGAGGAAGAGGAAACAGAGAATCCCTTCCATCCCTCCCTCTGTTTATTTTGTAGGACCCTCCTTTATTTAAGAGCCTCAAAATCCACTCTTTGTATTTAAAGCAAGCCCAACCCCCTCTCCTTAGCTCCAACACCTCTTCATCTCTCAAGCTTGCAACTTGCTGCTGCAAAGATAAAATTCATCAAGAGATAGGTAGTGATTTCAATCCCAATTGATTCCTCCTCTTGCCCTTTTCATTTCGAACCCTTTTGCCATACAATCAAACACATACCAAACCCTAAAATGAAGCTTGTTTTGGTTGTCTCTCTTCTACTCCTACCCTTCTTCCTTCAACAAGCTCAAGGTAAATCATATGGGCGCACTTATCAGTTATCACCACTTCACTATCTTAATGTGCATGCCATAACAAGATGGAATTTTGTGTTCTCACAAGTTGGTTCTTGTTCTATGTTATAGGGATTCGGCCGGAGAAGGGGTTTCTTGATCATCACCAGCAGAAATCCGAGGTAGTGGCGATGGAGAAGAAGAAGAAGAGCTCATCACCACCATCAATGGAGGAAAGAAGTAGTTTTGATGATCATCATAGTAATGGAAACAGAGTAGCAGTAGTAGTGGGAGAAGATGGAGCTGTGTGCAAAGAAGGGCAGGAATGTAAGAATACAGGTACTGATGAGATGAAGACAATGTCATCAGTTATTAAGAAATCATCATCTTCTTCCTCCTCACGTCATTGGCTTCATGAAGATTACTATGGTCCTAAGATTCACAGGCCTAGGCACCATTAACACGAAGCTCATTAGCTAGTTAGTTAGACCTTCCCTTCTTCAATTAGAAACCACCCATTTCGAAACAATGGCCTTTCTAGCTCGGAGCTCTCTCAGACCAGAAGGAGAGTCGCAATACAGCCTTTCTTTCTAGCCATGATTTTGTGGCTTTTGACAACTAGCTATAAACAGTTCTTTTTTGAAAGAGTAGTGTTGTTAATGATTGTAGGAAAATTATACACTCAGCAGTCATGTAAGAGATATTTTGTCCAACTTCTGCATTCTGCATTGTGGTCTAGTTCAGTTCAACCACAAGAACATGCTACTTCCAAGGAAAAACAACAGTACGATAATCGAGTCAAATCGCTCAATGCGGGGGGCAAAAGATCTCACCAAAGCTAAAGGCTAGTTGATCACCAAAACAGTCAGCACTCAACTGAAATCCCCATTGCAGCTCTCGACCAGATTCATGACAGAGGCCACATCTAATTATGCACGACAAGAAAAACTAAAGAGCAACAAAAGGATCCCGGCTTAAGCCGAGCTTTTACCAACCATTCTTCCAAAGCATGCCCTGCCTAAATGATGTGCAAGCTTGTCTCTGATCCACCTTGCCCTCTCATCCACGACTCCTTTGTAAACTGGGAACTGCTCTCGCTGCTGCGAAGCGCCGAGCTCCTGGCATTCCTCGGGGAACGGCTCCTTGGCATTGATCAAAAAGTTGTGCAGAACACAAGCCATCACAATCACGAAGGGGAGAAACTCGACCTCGTCATCTCTCCATTTCATCCGTAACAGCTGCCACCGGGCCCTGAGCCGAGCAAACGCAGTGCTGTGCAGCGCCATTCCTCTACTGTGCTGTGCATTGAACTCTTTCTCCCCCAAATTCGTCACTTCATCGTCAATGGCGATGAACGGTGTTAACAGCCAGGGCAACAATGGCAGAGAAGGATCACCAATGATGTAAGGACGGAACAATACCCCGTTACCAGGATCATAAGCCGGCACTGTCCGCAGCTCATCTGATTGCTGAACAGAAGCAAAGAACTTGCTTTCTCGGAGAATCGATTCAGGGCTCATGGTTCCAGGCCAGCCAGTGGAGATATCCAAGAACCTGCCATCGGTATCGACCAATGCCTGAACCAGAAACGACCCACTGGTGCCCAATTCTTTGTTCTCGAACCCAAATCGCTGAAACCCTAGAGCGCCGCAGCAATTCGGCAGGGAAACCCACCGGAATCCCATCTGGGTCAGCTCCACTTCCTTCCAGAACTCGACGAACATCGACATGTTCTCGCACACGGTCTGGCAGACGACGAAGAACGCGAGGCGCGCGGCCTCAGGGGAATCGAGCCCGAACCACCGGGCCACGGTGGCGTAGGGCGCGCCGTGGGCGAGGCGGTAGAGCGCGGCGGCGAGGGCCACGTCGGGGAGGATGGACGGCGGGAGGCGGGACGCAATTGAAGGGGCGAGAAGCTCGAGGAGCTTGCGGAAGGTAGGATTGCTCATTCGGAAGTACTGGAACCACCGGGAATCGAATTCGGCGCCGGCGGCGCCGAAGGCGATAAGGCGATCGTAGATCGACTCCTCACCGAAAGATGAGGGCATCTGAGGGGGAATTGATGAAGGGATCTGGACGGGGAGATTTAGGGAATCGAGTTGGCGTTGGAAATCGACGAGCTGAGAAGGGAGCATCCGAGTGCCGTTGCCGGAGATGAAACCTTGCCCCGCAATGGCGGCGGCGGAGAGGATTGGGAGGATCCGCGGGGGAGGTTTGCGGTTTCTCTTGCTTGCCTGGGTTTTGGGCTTTCCGAGGGAATTGCTCCTCGCGGGCGTCGTCGTCGCTATTGCGGAGGAGGCCGCCGCCGGCGGCGTATTAGGGGATTGGAACTGGAAGAGAGCCTGGGATCCATCGTCGACGACGGCGTCCATGTTGCGATGGCGACTGATTCTTTGACGGTTTCCTCGAAGAAATGTGAATTCGTCTAGTCAGCGCATGGCTGCCACCTGGATAATGGGACCCACGGACTCTGAGTTCTATCTTCTATGTCTATCTCAGAGAGTGTAAATCTAAATCAGTCCTCTTAATATAAATGACTTACAATATACTACCCAATATATCTTTTGGTGTGTTAAAAACGTAAAGAAGGAGTGACACAACAATAAAAGTTAAGATGGTGTGCTGAATTGTAATTAATTTCATGCCTAATTCCTGTCGTATTTCTCACGAATGACTCCCAAAAGTCTTTCATAATCAGATTATAATTTGGAAAAAGAAAGCCTTATAAGAAGGAAAACCCCACTCTGGATTAACCAGCAAGGAAGGAAGAGAGCAAAAGCAGCAGACTTTGACGACGAATCAGTTTACGAGTCTGTTACCGAAACTCAAAAATCGTTCGATAACTTCCCGTCGGAGTTCCGATTTCGAAGAACAATGGCGAAGCTGAGAGTGGCGGGGACATGGTCGGGGGTTCTGGATGAGGTCGACTTGGAGAATTGGACGGTGCCCATGTTGAGAGAAGAAGTCGCCAAGCGATCGAACGTTCCCGCTGGCTCGATCAAGTTGATATGCGCCGGCAGGATGCTGAAAGACGGCGACGGCACGGAGAAGCTGTCGGAGTTGGGCATCAAGGCCAATTCGAAGATTCTGGCCAGTCGGGTCGCCGTCGACGAAGGGAAATCGTTGAAGGATGCGGAGGAGCTCAATCAGAGGCTTGCTCGCGTAAAGTGCGTAGCTTTCTCACTCTTTTTTTTTTTTTTTTTTTGTCTTGTTCGTTTGTTTTGATTTGTCTGATAATGGGTTTTTGCCTATAATGGATCAATTGTTTTATAGTCCTTTGTTGCTTGTGTGATGATGATGGTGAAAAGAAGGTTTGTTTCATTAGCAGGGAGGAGGAACAGTCTTTGGTTATGTTTCTTGGAGATAGTTGAGGTGGTAGGGAACAATGTGAATCCTAAGCTGTGTAGTTAGGATAAGGAACAGTGGTTTTGATTTTGCTTGGCTTTTGAGAATCCTTGAATTGCTGTTGGCCTTGAGATGATATATGGCTGAGACAATTGTATGATTCCAGTTTTCAGTATGCATTACTTCGATTAAAAGCTTGTTTGATGAGGCTTAATGAACCTATGGCAGTTGGGTTTTGTAGCTCAATTATGACTAGTTGATAACAATTTGAGGGGTTTCTTGCTGTAAACTTTGCAGGGAAGCTGTAGTTGCATTGTCTACAAGACACACAGATGGTGCATTGCCACTCGAAGACTTCAATATGGAAATCGAAGACCAACTTGGGAATAAGCTGCACTTACCTGAGTCTGATAGACAGTAATGATTCTTGACTAGATAGTTCTTGTGAAAGTTTGATAATTTTTCTGTTTTTTTTTTTTTATCTGTAGTGGTGTTAATTTATGGCCTTTCTGATTGAACTTTGCAATATGGATTGGCAGGGCACTGATGATGGGTTTGATGCTCCACACAAATGGAAAGGGTCTAATCAGAAAGGGCAAGTTCAGAGATGCTTTGGAAGTACTGAATATGGCAGAGGTTAGTTGCTTATTCTTTTTCTCAACTTAGTAGTACAATTTGCATGCCTATTCAAGCTTTTTGGTTATGTGTTCCCCATAATTGCGAGGATTCATTGCTGGTTGTTTTGTGTTTTGCAGGAATCATTCTCTCTTTGCAATCCTAAGACTATTGAAGTACGTGACCGTTCTTATAGCTTCATACCATTCCATTGACTCTTTTTTATTCGAAATTTTTGGCTAAACCCTTTCTTCATTCTCTTTTACTTGCTTCCAGCTTGTTGATAATATTGCAATGCTGCAAATGGACATGGTGTGGTGCTATTTCATGCTGAAAGACATTGCATGCCTCTCTGTTGCTGGAGTACGTCTTGATAAGGCAAGAGATGGATTCGAACGTGCTCATGGCAAGGATGCTTCCCGTCTCAAACTCCTTCAAGCAGGAAACTCCTCGGAGCTTGCAGTGTAAGTATTCTGCAAAATCTTCATTAAGAGAGGTACCAAAAAGCGATAAAGTTAATGGATATCTCGTGCTCAAAGGTATATACTCTTCTTTTGTTGTTACTTTCAGATATATGAGATTGGAACTACTCGAAGCAGTTGTGGCATATCACAGTGGCCAGCTTGAGAAATCTAGGAGGTACTTGATGTCTGCACAGACCAAATACAAACGGGTAAGCATGAATTAGAGCTCTTTGTATATCCTCTTATCGAGTAATCATTACCATTTGATGATATGTGACTTTTTCCACTGTAGCTACAAGTATCAGATGAAGTCTTGTCAGTTGTTATGGGGATGGGTTTCAAAGAAAATGAAGCAAAGAGAGCATTGAGAATCAACAATCAAGATGTCGAACGTGCTGTCGACTTTCTAGTTGAGGAAAGGGCACGGAAAGCACTGAAACGAGAAGAGAACCTTAAGCGACAAGCGGAAATCTTGTGAGTGCCAATCAGGTTGCTTTTTTCTTATTGCAGTTTTCATCTGTCATTATTCTGACTGGTCAACGTTGTACACAGGGAGCAAAAAAAGTATGGTGTTACACCCTTGAAGAAAGCTGTGGATATCCAACTATTGAATGGATTGGTCTCCATAGGGTAAGCATTCACTGCCAGTTTTTAATTGTTTATTCTCGATGCCACTTGCACAGCATATTGAGATGAAAAACTTGTCAAATGTATCAGGTTTGCGAAGGAACTTGCTGCTGAAGCACTGCGAAGGAATGAGAACGACACTCAGAAGGCATTGGATGATTTGACAAATCCAGAAATTAATGCTAGCATCCAGGTCAGTTTTTGGCTGTGTCTTCAGTCTTCGAGGTACATCTTCCACTCGCATTTTCAAGCTCTTTAACTAATTGTTATTATCTTAATCTGAGTTTGCAGAACTACATAGAAACAAAGAACGCCAAAAGACAGAAGCAAGACACAGACTCTAAAATCCAACTACTTGTATCCATGGGATTTGACATGTCAGCTGTAGTTGCAGCGGTCCAAGCTGGTGGCACTATGGAGGCAATAATGCAGCGACTTCTCCAACAAGGACCACTTCCAAATCCCGCTGCTGCTGCTGCTCAGGCTCAGGCTGCCGCTCAGGTTGCTGCTGCAAATGCTGAACCACCAGCCGATGCAAGTTTCTCTGAATCACGAGATGTGGAAATGGAGGATGAGATAGCGGATGAATTAGCAAGGACGGACGCTTTATCTGACTATGATATTGATGTAACTAGAGAAGGGGAAGCCATTAATGAGTACTTGGCATTACTTGATTCAACTGGTAGTAGCAGTGGAAGCGCTTCAACTTCTGGTTGAGTCCCACCAGGAGAAGGAAATAAGGAACTAGTCTCTGTAAATTATTAGTGTCAATAAATAATGTGTCCTGTTTCTTCTTTTGACAATAGTAAGTTCAATCTTGGAAGATTTTCTAGTGAAGGAAATTACATATTGTATGCCATCCTTTTGGACTCTTATTTGAGTTTAACGGTGTATATAGTATGTTCTTCCTGCTCTTCAAGCTGTAGCGGTTAGCTGAAATTCTCAACCTGGGAATAGAGAATGGGTTTGAACTGTTATACTCAGACTACACTAGGCTTACACAGGCTCTCCAACGTTTCCAACTTAACGGAATCCAACAGTAAAATTTATAGAGATAAAACTCCTCTTCAATCCATTCATTTACAAGATCCCGTTATCTGAGAATAGGTTCGTCTTCTATATTTACATGCCACTTAACTAACACAATTGCCAGTTTGCCACCCTTAACCTGGACATCTAGGAACAATTTAGAGGCCCGGAGTTTCTGCAAGTGAACGACTGTGATGTGAATACAAAGTACAAAATCTCCCTCCTTCCAAGTGTTAGATTCACTCCTCAGACTGTGCATTGGTTGGATTCTCAACCTCAGTGACCATGAAGATTTGCTTATCCCCTCCAGTTGAATCTTTCTTAACTTTGCTTTCCTTGTAAGTCTTCGGCAGGGCATTGCAGTTGATGGTGTGCCACACAGGTCTCTCTTCTTGGAACAGTCTGCAAATTCATAGAAGAATAAAAGTTTACAGGCAGCTAAAAAGCGGGAAATCATTTTAAGTTTATCAAGAGGGTCAGACTTACGGATGCTTGCAAAGCATCGGAGATTGTACTGTCAGGGCGTACTTGCAAGTGGATAGCTCTGTGATAGAACTAATCATTGCTCTTGGCTCAGAACATACAAATCTCACCTGCACATATTCCAAAACGGAATTGCGGAGTGTAAATAAAAGGAAAAGGGGAAAAGGCAGATATCAGAGAGTTCCCTCCAAATCATTACTTCGGTTTCTCGTGGCTGATTGGTGAGATCACAGAGAGTTCCATTTGTATATTGATGAGCATGGTACCTACACAAATCACGTTTATGGTATGTGAGGAAACCTTTCTACAAAGTTTCCTTTTGCTCTAGTTCATTGTGATACCTTTGAGATGCATCTTTGGAGCGAGGATCTTTCAAGGTGGAAACGTCTTTTAAGTTCTGGTTGAATGCAGCTGTGGCCTCTTCATCATAAATACCCAAAACAAATTCCTGTACCACCTGCAATGAGAGAATTTTAGATGTAACCAAAATACATCCTTGTAGGAACTAAGATATCAGCAAAACTTTAATTTTCCGAATTTCTCACCTTCTCATCTTCCACATGAAACTGCCTTAACTTTTGTTCATGGCAGAGTTCATAAGTCCACCAACCCTCTTGCTGCAAGGATAGTACAACATCAGGAGCAAAGCATACAAGAAATGTAAAAATGATATTTCATTGGAACTGGGGAAGCAAATACTGACTCTGACAAGACATTTTCCTTTGAACACTTCAAGCAGCTCGTCAGGAGTCTTCAATTTAAGCCGTCTCTCAGTTTCCACAATCATGCTGGTTATGTTCACCTGATTGACTGGCTTCTCACTCTTGGCTTTCTCTATCTTAGGCAAGTAACATATGTAACTGCGCCCGTTTGTATCAGGCATAACAACAGATTCTTGATCCTCATCCTGCAATGACGAGGTCGGTTTCTGGCATATTAGACATCCACCAACTCTAAAGTCCTACAATTTAGACAAAATATAGCATAATGCCAATACCGCTACATTTACTCACAGGATGAAATGGTGCTTCTTCAGGATGGAACTCCATCTTATACTTGGGCTCGCGAGAACTGCGACTGAACGAACCACCTGTCATCATGTCGATAACTAAGGTAAAACACCACATATATAGATAACAGAGAACACAAAATTGTTCCAGAAAGGATGCAGCTTGAAAGATCATTAACAATAGCACAATGCGGGAAGATGTTGGGGTTTTCATGGCAGAGCCCAAATGCATAAGTTACCACAGACCAACCAGCCAGTAGCCAACGCTCTAATCACCTAAACAACCCAGTTAGCTAAGATTAAAACCCATAAACCCCCTGAAAACTGTAATGCAGCGCAAGGACCAAGAAACATTATGAGATTCGCTAGTACCCACTACTCGTACTAGATCATCAATTGATCACCTTTGATATCAAAATCGAAAAATGGTGCTTTCAAATCACTCAAAAAGCAAATGAACACGGTTTTCCAAATCGTTCTAAGTGAGTGATTTACCTACGTGAGCTGGGAGGATCTGGTCAGCTAAAACGTAGGTGGAAAGAGCGCCTAGAACAAGGAGTGGCAACAAAGATCTCATCTTTTCTTCGGCTTCGATTAATCCCGCAACGGTGAAGAGGACCCAGAAGAAAGACGGCAACGAGAAATTTGCTTCCCTGAATTTTGAAGCTTCTGGGATTTGTTGCCGGGAGAGCTGAGATTGACAAGGCTCTGCCGCCCTCCTGTAGGATTATACCGATGCCGCGCCGGTCACACGGGTTGTTGCTAACCAGCCAATGAACTGGTGACACATCAAACCTTGTGACGTGTACAACGACCTGAACTTTACTACTTTAGTATGCAGAGCCCAGTCCACTACACGTATTGTGGAGGCCCAAATGAGTACCTGGGGGCCCAAATGTTATTGCTTGGTCGAAATTGAAAAAGAAATTCCTAGTAGATACAGTCGATAACAAATATACACAACTGATGATAATAATAATAATAATAATAATAATAATAATAAAAAAAGTAATTGTATGTAATCGGACTCTCGATAAACGAGCTTGTTTGACTACTAGGCGAGCAACTTTGTCAAAACTACGAGAAGTAAAAATATATGAAATTTACTCGTAAGCAAGGCGCATCTAGTGTAGTGGTATCATAGTACCCTCCCACGGTACTGACTGGGGTTCGATTCCCCGGATGCGTAATATTTTTGTTCAACGAAAAAAATGTACTCGTATAAAGAGAAAAAGGAAAGCAGCTCTTATCGTGTCTAAACACGAAAGTGACGGAAAGACCTCTTACAAAACAATACGAACAAAACAACCCATAGTGATAGTATCATCTCAACTTGATGTAAAAGAATATTGTTCAACTCAACTTTAATAATGTCATTATTTCCTTAATAAGACTACCCTGTTTTAACTGTCCTCATAGACATAATTAACTACTAATTAATTCCATCATTAACTTCTTATAATGTTAATTGATGTTACACAAATAGAAACAAAAACCCATCCGCATTAATCAAAATTTTCTAGGGAGTCAAATGAAATCTTCCCCCAGGACACTTGGAATCCCCGAACAAGAACGTGGGTCCCACCCAAGCTTCCTCGATAAAATTTTTTTTGAAAAAAATCATATCAAACAAACCGAATATTGGATTATCAACTGCCATTTTCTGTGGCTTTCACGTTGAGAATTGAAAATCCTCGTAAAACCAGACACCATACATTGGCCGGTCTCCCTTCCGTTTCTCCTTCTTTCTCTTTTCCCCCATTTTTCATTGTTCTAGCTGGCAACGAGAGGAAAAGAGGATTTTTTTTTTTAAATTTTCCCAGGAAAATTCAAGCACAAGCGAGGAACTTCTACCACCAATTCATTCATTTCCCAGATAAGTTATCTTCTCAAAGATCGCTCCTTTTCCCCCATTTCCTTCTGGTTCACGCAATCATATGCAGTAGATTGTTTCCATCTTTGAATCCCCATTATAGAAGCGCATTCATTCATTTCCTCTGTTTCTCCGAATTGGGATTTGTTCGTTTGATTCGTACAAGCAAAACAAACAAATCCTGGTTTGGAGAGGAAGGAACCCTTTAGAGATTTGAGGGAGAAAGTTCAGATTTTGGGAGTGGAGAAATTTTTTGGGTGGGATTATATTGGGTTCATTTGTGTGTGGTGTTTTGTTCCGTACGAGGAACCTGGGTTTTCTTGAATCCATTCATGATATGTTTCTGTAGTAGTATTACTAAGCTCCGAAGTTCTGGATACTATAAAGTTCTACCTATCCATTTGTGTGGGATTCTGGTCTCTAGCACTGTGGATAACCTTAATTGCAATGAGAAAGCAACAGCAGCAGCAGCAGCAGCAGCAACAACAGAATGGGAAAGCAAGAGTAATCAGTACCCCTAAGTCCCCCACCGTAGAGAAAGATGAAGGAGCCTTCATTGCCCTCTCCCAAGCGTTGAAGGACGAAGGCAACAAGCTCTTCCAGAAGAGAAACCACGATGGAGCTCTGCAGAAGTACGAGAAGGCCATCAAGCTCCTTCCGAAGACCCACATCGATGTGTCATACCTCAGGAGCAACATGGCTGCCTGCTACATGCAGATGGGGTTGAGCCAGTACCCTAGGGCGATACACGAGTGCAACCTGGCGCTGGAGGTCACCCCGAAGTATGGCAAGGCATTGCTCAAGAGGGCGAGGTGTTATGAGGCATTGAATCGCCTCGACTTGGCCTTGAGAGATGTCGGGACAGTGTTGAAGATGGAGCCTGCAAATGTGATGGCGTTTGAGGTTTGGGAGAGGGTGAAGAAATCACTGGAGGAGAGAGGGCTCAGGGTAAATGATACGTCGATCGAGTTGCCTGCTGATTATGCTGAGCCGAGTGCAAAACCGCCTAAAGAGAGGACACCGAGGAAGAAGAAGAGCGGGAGAAGTGATGAGAAGAAGTCTGAGGATGAGAATGAAGAAGCTTTGGTTGTGGTAGATAATAGACCTAAGAGGAGCATGAAATTGGTGATGAGAGAGGATATAAGAATGGCTGAAGTTCCTGTGAATTGTAGCCTTCTGGAGCTGAAAGAAGTGGTGTGTGACCGGTTTCCTGGTTCAGGTCCAGTTCTCATCAAGTACAAGGATCAAGAGGGAGACTTGATCACCATAACTTCTGATGAAGAGCTTCGGTTAGCTGAAGCATGTTCATCACCACAAGGCGGCTCATTCAGGCTGTATCTTGTTGAGATCAATCCTCAACAAGACCCGATTGTGGAAAGACTCAAGCATGGTCGAATGAAGAGAGTTGACACCAAGACATGGAACATGGAGAGAGATAGAGAGATCAAGAAGGGAATGCGCTACATCGATGAATGGATTGTAGAGTTTGCTAAGTTGTTTAAAGATCATGTGGCACTCGATACCGACTCCTACTTGGGGATCAATGACCTCGGTATGAAAGTCTATTCGGAGGCTATCGAGGAGACTGTGACTACTGAGGAAGCACAGGGGTTGTTCAACACAGCAGCTGAGAATTTCCAGGAAATGGCTGCTTTAGCATTGTTCAACTGGGGGAATGTTCACATGTCGAGAGCTAGGAAGAAGATAGAGTTTAAAGATGATGCCTCTCGGGAGGCAATGCTTGAGAGAATCAATGTGGCATTCGAATGGACAAAGAAGGAGTACTTAGACGCAGGGGACAGGTATGCGGCAGCGTTGAGGATCAAACCAGACTTCTACGAAGGTCTTCTGGCTTTAGGACAGCAGCAATTTGAGAGGGCAAGGCTCACTTGGTACTATACCCTTAGCTGCAAAGTTGACTTGTCAAATTGGTCTTATGACGAAATCATAGAACTGTATAATAGTGCCGAGCGAAATGTGGATAGAGGGATGGAGATGTGGGAAGCTGCGCAATCACAACGGATTACCGATCTTACAGATAGAACTAAGATCAAGCCTGTGCTACAGGGTACGGTTTTGGGTGAGCTGTTCAAAGACACGTCGCCAGAAGATGCTGCTGTGCGGATTAAGGATCTTAGGTCACAGATGAATCTCCTACGTGGCACCATTCTATACGAGAGGTCCATGATGGAGTACAGATTGGAGATCCCGGTTTGGCAAGAGTGTTTGGAAGTTGCACTTGAGAAGTTCCAGCTGGCTGGAGCTTCGGCTACTGATATTGGCGTGATGATGAAGAATCACATTTCGAATGATAGTTCAATGGATGGTATGTTCTGTAACCTAGTTGGTTATGAATTACTTGATGTGAAAGCAACGGGCGTTCTGATATTTTGCTCAATTCTTTTCTGTTTGGTCTTTCAGGATTGGGGTTCAAGAGCGATGAGATAGTACAGGCGTGGAATGATATGGATGAAACTAAGAAGTGGCAGAGACGTGTGTACTCATTCCGTTTAGAGCCGTTGCTAAGACGTAGAGTTTCGAAGATCTACCATGCCTTGGAGGTTTCATGATCATCTTCTCAAAACTTCTGACAGGATCTAATAGTTACTTTTGTACTAAGGTATTGCTCATTCTCGCTCTCCCTCTTCATCACGATCTCTATCCAGTGTCTAAAAACCATTTCCTCCACAGGGTGTGTGTGATGAGACCTTTGAACTTGGTTCTTTTACACGGGGAAGGGAAGAAATGACAACAGTTACACAGGGTTTGGTTGTGTGCAGATTTCAACTTCTTAGAAGGTAGACTCTAATTCTTGTACAACCTCGCGGCATGAGGAAAGGAAGCTGGCAGTCTGTTTTCAGTTTTAGATCCCTCACTCTGCACAGCCTCGCAGTTTTCTCTTTTAGTCTAACCAGCAGCAGGAACAATGATGTTCAATTCGTTATTCATTCGAGGCGGTCATCCAGATAAACGATGTTTTGCATAACCTAACGGCTAATAATTGCAGTCTTGCTCTTGTTTCGTAAGCTGTTTTTAATAGTCTGAAAGTCATCTATGTTTGTAGAATGCCAGTATATTGTTCTGTATTTGATTGTGACCTCCATAGTTTCATAGGCCTGAACTGGCAGCATCTCTGTTTTCCCTGCCTTCTGGTTAAGAAGAAGCTGCAGAACCCTTTTGTCTGTGCAAGAAGGAATTTCACCATCTTTTGAAAGAGCTATACAAGTAATGTAATTCCCACATTTGATGACAAAGCAAAGCCACTGCAGAATAAAATAAAGTTAGGAAAGGGCGAGAAGCTTCATAGTTGATTAAGCTCCTGTATCTAAAACATAAGCCATGAACAGGTCCTAGTCAAAGTGCAAGCATGCAACCCCATGTTATTTTAGTTGCCAATATACCAGCTGCCTAGAAACCTGATGATTGCGGATTAAGGTAACTTGTAAAATCTTAGCTTGAAAGAAGGAACGAATGTTCTTGAGCTCTGCTTTATCCAGGTTGATGCTATGTTGTTAGACTCTGTTCTGACTATGCTATGATAATCACAGAAACTAGCATTTTCAGAACAAAATGATTCGACAGAAACATTTTTCTATTTGAATCGATCAGAGGTTTACAACAGAGGGATAATAAACACTGGTACACTCTTCAAACTGGAGCTTACTTATCATAACACAACAAACTAGGGCAGAAGTTTTCATGTGCCGCTTGATAAAAACATATATGTACAACTTTCATTCAATGGTTCCAGCAGGCAGAAAAACCCCACTATATTTACATACACTTTGATGGCTTTCTTTCTGCATGACTTGCTTCCTATTGCTAGCCTTCAAACTTCCCTTCGGCCAGATGAGGCGGTAGGTATACTTATTTAGAGACTGTACATGGCATAATACCACCAGCTGAGAGCATATGAAGCTATATTTACAAGTAGTTCCCCTTTCACTATATGTGTCCACATCGCGCTTCTTTACTCTGGACGAAAGCTCACCAGATTGGGGAGTGCAGTTAACTGTAGCTTCCTTATCTCGGAGGCAGTCACCTTACAGGACTCCAAGGTTAGGGAGTGTAAATTCTTCAATGGCCTCAAATGCCTCAGACCCTTGTTGGTTATCAGAGAATTTGAAATGTTCAGCGACACTAAGCCCTCCAACCCTGCATTTTCATATGGGGAACCCACAATGATGTTACTTAGGACGCCTTAATTATGTTATTAATATATGGAGAGCAAGATTAAAGAAGGAAGAAGTACCAGAGATCAATTCTAAGGTTTTGTCTGTGAGGTTGCTGTTCTGTGACAGGTTCAACACGGTTAGGCGAGAAAGATCTTTGATGTTCTTAACCCCAGCATCTGTTATACCACCACCACATATTTCCAGGGATTGGAGATTCTTGAAGTCTGCATGCATGAATGCAAAACACTTCAGAACGTAAGAAACTAGAAAGACATTATGCAGAAACAATCTTAATTTTGCTCATGATATGATCCAAGGATGACTGAACAGGAGCAATAACATGATGTGGGTACTGTAAATGAAAGAAGTTAAAGAATGGTGAGTAAATAAGAAACCATACGTTGCAAATATTTTGTTCCAGCATCTGAAATTCGAGCTCCAAAGAGGTCCAGATGGGTCAGACCTGTCAAACCTGCATCAATGAAGGCATAATGGAGCTACTGAGAATGGCATGAACATTAGACTGTATGCAGCTTGACGTCTTCAGAACATGCTGCATTGTCTCACATTGCTACAATAGTTCTAGTGTAATTCTTCCCACTAGTGGTGTATAATAAAAGCATATTAAAGCAAGTAGATGATAAATGCTTTACTTGTAAGAGCGGCAAGACCAGTATCTGTAATCTGACGAGCATCCAAGTTGAGTGATTTAAGAGAAGTCAACCCAGATAATCTCCGCAGACCACCATCGGTGACCAAGGTGAAAGACAGATTTAAGCTTTCCAGTTGGTTCAAACCTAGAAATAGTAACAAGATGAGTGCAACTCAGCAGGAAGTGAACTTTACTTTCAAGTTTCAACCCTAAACTTGATTGCAAATCCTTGTACCAAGGTTAACTTGTGGCATGGCATAGAGAGCCCTACCTGAAAGATGACGAAGACCACTGCTGCCAACTTCAGTATCAGACAACTCCAAACTTTTGAGGGGAAGTCCTGAGAGGAGACGCACAAGGAGTACGCCTTAATATCAAGGACAATTTTTACAAGCAATTAAATAGAAACTTAGATAAAAAATAGTACCAGACAAGTTAGCGAGCCCTTCATCACCAATCTTACAAGAATCCAGGTTCAAGCTCTCTAAGTTCTTTAAGCCTGAAAAAAGTGATCAAACTCTTTCGGTATCAGGCTAGTTAATTTCACGGTGAACCAAATAGACAACAGCATTTGGTGGGATTATACAAGACATCACAAAATGTCAGAGGCCAAAGTCTTGCATTCTGTAAGAGAAAGAAGGGGAGTAATAACCTTTTAGATGGACCAAAACAGCATCTGTAATGTTGTTGAATGCCAAACTCAATACCTTCAACTTCTTCAGCTCTGCATGTTTTCTCAAACACTCAATCACCTTGCATGTTGAAAGCTGAATGACTGCTAAAATGAGCAGTTCAACACAACTTGATAAATAAACAGGTAGGTTCACTCACCAGAAAACTTATCACATCCCTCATCTGACAACCCACATCTGCTTAAATTTAAGTATGCAAGATTTACAAGAGCTGCAAAAGGAAAAGGGTTGATCAATACTATTCCTATATAGAATAAGTGATGACACTTTTTTTCCCCTGAGACAAAGAAAAATCAAAATGACCAATCTACAACTTGAAATCCTTTCTCTCTGCATGCAACGGAAGCTAATAGGTGATACAGTAACCTGTAAGGACCATTGCAGATGAAATAATCAAAAGAAAGCTGACCTGAAAGTGAATCCAAACACGCAGTTGTCACATTACAACCTTCCAAGTTCAGTATGACAATCTTCTCCAAACCTGGGACACACATGAAAAGTAATGGCGTTATCAGCTATGCAAGACTACTATAGAATGATCATTGAATCATCAAACAACCCCTATCAGACTTGACTGAAGGATCTTTAGGTGTTACACTCAGACTGGGAAAGAGCGACTCACACAATCTATAAGTGCAGAAACAGAAAAAATATAGCAAAGACCTGGAATACACTAGGAAGGCATCAACACCACACTCAAACTAGCATTAGATGGAGCTTCACAAGAAGCCAAAGTGGCCGAAACGGGGGAAGTGCAGAGTGTGTCCACTCTCTAGGTTGACAGATGAAAAAAAGTTAATTAATGTCCAGCAATTGGATACCTCTCAATAAGGAAACCCCAAAATCCGTGATGTTACAATTGGATAATTGCAATTCCTTCAGATTAGTGAGACCTGAGAGATAAAGAAAAAGAATAAAAAAGAAACAGCTAAGAATAGATATCAAAGGCCAGACCAATTCAATCTTAAGTACAGCCCAATGACATGGAACAGGTAACATTTTGTTATAGGTCAGTACTTAATCCAGCTTTCTCTTAGGGGTCGTTTGCTTCAAGGATTTAAAAATGAGGGTTTTGTAATTTAAAAACCCAAGGATTTATCAAGGATTTGAGGCATCATGGATTTGTAACAATCCTTTGTTTGTTGGGATGTTTTTATCATGGATTTAAAGGTGTGGGATTTACTACTTGAAGTCAAAAATTACATTACTACCCTTTTCTATATGTTTGACATGTTTATGATATGTACACAAAACAAGGACAAAACTTCAAAATTACCTTACTATCATTTTCTATATGTTTGACATGTTTATGATATGTACACAAAACAAGGACAATACATACTAATAAGCATAATGTTGCCACATGGACAATAATAATAAACGAGAAAATTTTGTTTTAACTTTTAACGTAACATAATCAATTACCAATTCTTTGTCCTCCTTTTCAAAAGTAACATATAACAACATATATTAGAATCGGGAGAACAAAGAATTACACGTTCCATGAAAAGGTCAAAGAAAACTAGAACACAAGAAATGATATAAAAAATATAACTCATGTTTGCACATTAATTGAACGTTTATATTATTCATTTATTGTTAATTATAATGTATAATAGTTAAATTTGAGGGCAACCTTGGAATATTAAAAGTGCATGAGGGTATATGGGTAGAATCTCATCAAGGATTTATGCCATATTCCAAATCCCACATCAATATGTGGGATTTATAAGTCCGTGGGGTCCACGGATTTAGACCCTTAAAATCCGTGGACCCCACGGATTTGGTCTCCAAAAAATGTGCAAGCAAACAACGGATTGTACCTAAATCCTTGAAGCAAACGACCCCTTAATAGTGAAGTCGATTAATCCAACCAGTACTTACCAGTGAGAGCCTTCATGTCCAGATCTGTAATGCATTTACAGCACCTAATATTAAGAGACTCCAGTTTTGTTAATCCTGTAACAGAATACACAGAGAAGAAAATCATGTTCCAACACTTGGGCCGTGTAAGTGGTGAATGAAACAAATTTCCCCAGAAACAACCTTCTCAGCTCAAGACATTCAGCTGAATCTACATCGTTTTAACAGACTTACCTTTCAGATGAATTAGTCCACCATGAATCTGGGAGCATCTTTCCAGGTCCAACTTCTCTAAATTAACCAAAGTAGAGAAGGCTTGCATCCCTTCAGCGGTAATAGCAGTACTCCTTTTGAAACTCAAAGAAGTTAAGCTGTTAAGGCCTGAAGAACAGCATCAAATGAGTAGCAACCCAACCAGCATATAGTCCATTGGTTATCTTAGCAAGAGACACTCATTCGAGTGTCAACTACTTCATGAATTAGTCAGAGCATTACCCCTTATGTGTTTCAGCCCATGCTCGGTAATACTTTCACAATAATTTAGAGTCATTTCCTGAAGGTTCGAACAATCTTTTAGACAAACCAAAGCAGCATCTGTGATTTCCGAATCGGAAAGGTCCAAGGAAAGTAGAGATGATCCCTGTGAAGATATTACATCCATCCAACTATCCTTCACCCCTGGATAGTCACCTAAATGAACATCCTGATAACGTAATAACTAACCCCAATTAGAGAAATCCTTCAACACAAGCCAAATAATTTAGTTCTGAAAAAGTATGTTATAAAGGGATTACCTGCAGAGCGCAATCGAGAAACGCTACAAGAGAATCATCATTGAGGCTATGAGTCAACGCCAACTCATTAAATATTTGCTGGCTTATATCCCTTGGAAGTACAGAAAAGGACTTATACCTTTCAATGTCCTGTTAGAAATGAGGGAACTAAAGATACTCAACACTCTTTGACAAAGAAATAAGGCAAGATGTGAAAACAATGTGAGTTCATAAATGAAGTAACCTTGCATATTTGCTGTATGCATAGTTCCATCAAAGAGGGGCGATTGCCTCCTGCTTGGCAGTCAGCAACGGCAACATGACCAAATGAGTTGCGAAGCCATTTTGAACTCCCACTTTTACCATACCTTCCTGAAATTCTGCTGGCAATACCATCCCCAATGACCTCTTGGTCTCTCTTCCTTGAACAAATCCCACCCATGTTTGCTAAATTTTGGCTCTAGTCCACTTACACCATCTGCTCAAAGAGCTATACAAGTAATGTCATTCCGACATTTGATGAACAAAGTCACTACAGAATCGAATAAAGGAAGAAAGGATTAGAAACATCATAATAGATTAAGCTCCTGTATATGATACAGAGTAAAGAATATGACACACAGTAACTGTCCTAGTCAAACGCAACCAAATGTTTCTTTTGGGATACCGCAAAGGAAACTTAACACTTAGTTGCAAGTTTACCAGCTGCCAAGAAACACGATGGCGGATTAAGGTAACTTGTAGAGCGTTAGCTTCAAAGAAACAACAAAAAGTTGCGATCTTTCCTACGCAAATGCAAAACCCACTTCACACCGCAAAACAGGAAGCGTGATTCCTGATCAGGAAAGTTAATAAAGCAAACAACTGCCGCTTGCCTAACTCCCCAATCCAGTAGATAGAAGACAGCGAAAAAGCTGCCAAATTTTTATGCCAACCCTGAAACCCCTCTTTTCTAGACCAGTCTCTGCACTGGAAGAAGAAGAAGAAGAAAATCCTAACCGCAGCTCAATCTCCACAGAGACTCCACTCGATCAAAACCATAATCCAAGCTAAAGAAAACACTTGGGAAAGCTCCAAACAATCATTCGGCATAAGAACAAACAGCAGCCACAACGATCACAATTCAGAAAGCCATATCACTCGACTAACAACAAGAAACCGAAACAAACCCAGAATCCTCTCGGAAGTGCCTATGAAAACTGGGGAAAAGAGCACCGCCGGTCAAATTTGAAGAGATACGATACGATCGTCACAGGGAATCAGAACTCAGGAGAAAGTGAGTGAGAGAGAAAGCAATGGCGGAGACGAGGCAGGGCAAAGAGGCGGAAGAGCTGGGCTTTTGTTGTGAGGATGGAGAAGAGGTGGAAGTAGGAGAGCCGTCCGATGGAAGACACGTGGCAGGATGGGAACCGGGGTGGGAGCCTTTGATCGGATAAGAGTGGGAAAATGGTGGGACCCGCTGGCGGGTACGGAAGCGGGACCCATCCTTTTAATCCTTCCCGCTCCCGCTTTATTTAGCCGGCCGCTTCTAGATATTTTCGATTTATTAATTAATCCAAAGGGATTAATGGGGGAGGGGAAAGGATTTTCAATGTTAATCATGATTATTTATCAACACCTTTGGTAGGTAGAGAGCTAAGGGTGAATTAGCTATAATCAAGTTGTCGTTGAAGCATTTGCAATAAACGTAGATGGATTAGAGTATGTTGTGCACAATACTGAGAATGACTTTGAAACTCGGAGTTGGGAGATTTCTATAACAAAGAAATGTATGTATAGCGAAAAAAAATCATCGAGATGGTCTAGATCGAAAACCCCTTCTTCATTTTGGTTGGATCATTGCAGTTTTTTTTGTGTCTATTGGTTGGAAAGTCCATACTTTGTGTCACTCGTGTTTGTAAGTAGGGTAGTTTTAAGTGGAATATTTGACATCTTCAGGCAAAATATTGTCGTTAAATGAACATATATTTGAAATTTATGATAATCTACTTTAGTATTTGATTGTATTAAGACGAACTCAAACACATGGACTTCTCGTTTGTAATTTAACGCATTCAAATGTTTTTTTTGCACTCCATGTTCCTAGTACCTAGCTCCTTACCAAACCAATTACCCATGTTCTTTGATATTGAAGCTAGGAACTCCGCAAAAGTCGAGTTGTCGACAAAATCTAACGTAGTTAATTAACTATATACATGTCTTTATAAAGACGCCAAGAACCGTAGGATATTGTCAGCACGTGTGTTCAACAGTCGTGTAACATGCAATCTAATAGCCATAATTCACATTCGGATCTTCTAATCATAATAAATGTAACACAGCAGTCGGATTATGAAAATATTGAAACAAACTCATGTCAAGACTCTCTATTGACTCTATTTCCGATGAAAATAATTCAATTTTTTCCCCGAGAACCTCGATTCTTTCACATAACATGGTATCTATGGCTTGGTGTCCTTAACAAGGGAGCAGCCTTGTTGCTTGTGTATTACTCACATCATTACGGATCTCAATCCATTTTTGTATTGTTATCTCAACCCATAAATACATGTTCCATTTGTTTAATTATACATGTCAATTTCACTCGACAACGTTATCACATTTTATTATTGGATTAAACAGGCTAGGAGATAACATACTCTAATCCCAAGTTGGGGGGATTGGTTTTCTAAGTTTCCTTAATAATGCTTAAATTCAGACTTCGTATAGTTGAGAAATACGAGAACAAAGACAACAATGGCGAGCGAGTAATTTCCTCGTCGATTGTTTGGCCCCTAAAAATACATATGACCCCTATAAGTACACAATGACATCAAATTTGCACTTTGGTTCATGTCGGGAATTCGAGAACTCAAAACTCGCGAGACAATAAGATCGCCGATACAACGATTTGATCACTCACTCACTTTCAGTTCCTTTCTTCTGGCCGTGTCTCACCCAAAATGGGTTGTGACTGTCCTTAGATTCATAGAGAGATGTTTTATACGGATATAGACGCTACAAGGGTGTGTTTGGATATATGCATTTCAAATACATGTATTTGAAATCATATATTTGAAACACCGGTGAGGTTAGTCTCCCTCCCTTAAGGCCACGCTTCCCTGTTACCGTCTCCACCGGCCGGCCGGCGTGAGCCCTTGTCGAGTTCCACATTCGCCACCACGCCGGAGTTCAGCGGCAGATCTAGGGGGAGCCGCCCCTGGCCCACGGCCCAGCCCTCTCCGGATCCAAAGCTCGCATAGTACTTGTAAATTTTCGATTTTGAGTATATATTTTCAATGTTTATTGGGTTACGGCCCAGCCCTCTCCATCGATTTTTAAATGCGGCCCAGAGCTCTAACCTGTTCTGGATCGCCGGAGTTGCCATCTCCCTCTGTATGCATCGCCGCCGCCTCGCTTGATCACTGCTTCGTCGTGTCTCTCTCTCTTTACGTTCGTATACGATGGCAGCGTCGTATATGGAGGATTTAGCTACGGCACTCCACCTTTTGGTCCAGTAGCCCAATCCTTGGGCCTCCTTTTCTAGTTTGATCTCGATAAATGGGCTTTTAGGCCTTCGTCAATTTACATAGAAATGGGCTTCGATCCATCCCCCCACCTCTTCGTTCTATTAACCCAGCAACATAATGTCCATGGCTTTAGGCTGCGGTACTCAGCCCACGAGACCGGGTTTCATTGTCTATGGAGTATGGAGAGTTAGCCCAACATAGGAAATACATAATCTTCAGATAAAATACCTTAAAGTAGGGGTGGGCACGTGGGTGGTTAATCCGCGGATTGATATCGATCCACCCGCAAATAACCCGACCCGCATGTAATGGGTGATTGATGTGGGTGGATTGCGGATTGTTAAATCTCCCACCCGCACTTATGTGGGTGGATGGTGGGTGGATTGCGGGTCACCCGTATGACCCGCATTCTATTTTTTACATGGAAAAATGTTGTTTCTTATAGTATCGAATATTCAACATATTTTCAAAATGCATTACAGTCTGACCATATACTGCAAAAGGTGGAGAATAAAGAATAGTTTTGACTACTATTATTGGTTATTGTGTTGTGCAATATCCATTTGCAATGGATATTGGTATGCAAATTATTGTTAATATCAATTAAATATTGGGATACAAACTATAAATTATTAATTGTATCAAAATCACAAATTATTGATATAATCTTACTAATGTGCTATGAACTTATTATAAATGTTAGTCAATTTTCTTAATGGCTAGTTGGAGAATTGCTTTTGCGGGTTAACCCGCGACCCAACCGCACTCATCCGCCACCCACCCAACCCAACCCGCATAAGTATGTGGGTGGATTGCGGGTCACATATTTTCCAACCCGCTAGTAAGCGGGTGGGTCAATTTTAGACCAAAATTCACCCAACCCGCCCATTGCCCACCCCTACCTTAAAGTACAATTAAGTATAAAAATTGGAAGAGCTATACCACTTAAGTTAGAATAGGACGTCGAGTACTATTAATGTCATTGAATTGTGCATCCGTTTAAAATTCAGTTAGTCTTCCATTAAAAAGAAATAAAATATTATTAATTCAAACTGTAATGGGTGGGTGATTGATGTGAGTAGATTGTTGATTGACAAATCTCCTACCGACACTTGCTCGGATGGGTATGGGGTGGATTACGGATCCCCAAAATGAAGACCTGCACCTTATTATCACTTGAAAAAAATTATTTCTTGTTTATACTATTAAATAGTTGTCATAAATCATAATTGCACTACACTCTGCCTATCACTCTAAAGGTGAAGAATAAAGAATTAATTCTAGGCTACTATATATCATTGGTTACACTATTGTGTAATGTTTATTAGATATTAGGATGTATATTATAAATTATCAATTGTATTGAAGTTGCAAAATGTTTTAGTTTTCTCTACCCTATAGATTGGTGGAGTACTGGAAAATTTGATATAATAAAATACTAGATGCATATACAACAAAGTGGATAGTGTCTAATTTGTACAATCTTACTAATTTGCGAGTAACTTATTATAGATGGTAGTAAATTTTTTAAATGGGTAGTTGGAGAATTGATGTTGCTAGTCTATCCAGAACCCAACCACACTCGTTCATCATTCCCCCAACCTAATCCGAAGAAGAATGTGAGTTGATAGTGGATAACAAGTATATAAACTCACCAATAAGTAAGTGAGTCAATTTAAGACCAAAATCCACCCAATCCGCGCATTGCTCGTCCCTACTTCCTGCGTAATTTTTTCAATTATATAATGTAAATATATTTACATATAATAGTACACTAAATGAAATACAAAAAGGTGTCTAATTGACTATCCAATCTTATATGTGAATATATTCAAAGTAATTAGAACGTGTTGATACTTAAAAGAATATATACCGTCTATCCCTATCCAACTCTGTTACCATCCTTAGACTATATCGCTAAAATTAGTGTCTCCATTTTCATAAACCAATTGACAACACAAATTTATTCTATCGTTCTAGTAGAAGGAGCCATCATTTTCATCTGTATTTTCTTCTTGGTTGGAGTCTGTCCCATTTGTTTGACAATCAAGGAAGACAACACAAAAACGATTTCGTCTTCTGCCTCTCTCTCTCTCTCCTCTTTGTCTCCTTCCCAACAATGGAACAAGGTTGACTCAATCAGCTGCTACTCGACACCAAAAAAACGACTCTGTTTCTGCAAAGATTTTTTTTCTTAATCAAACTCCACTACAGACAGTGACAGAGGAAAGACACAATAAGAAACACAACAGAGCTAACCCATGGAAAAAAGACTCGTCCTTTGTTGGTTTCCATTTCTATTTTTATCTACAGACAAACCATTCTAGGATGGCAAACTACAACACAACTGGAATAGCAGCGGCCGCCAAATGCCAAGAGGTTTCAGCCAAAACTTAGCGACCACACAGGACAAAGACCGGCGCAGGGAATCTGCTCGCACGTACGTTGAAGCATCGAGCTACGTAGGAGACCTGGTTCGAGTGAGAAAGCGTTGTCCTTCATGGAATACAACGAAACTCGAACAAGAGCGAAGGCGGTCAGTGAGTATAAGAGAGTGTAGGACGGATGATGAACAAAATCGAAGAGCCGACCCTGCAGTTAAACAACCTGTTCATGGAAGTTAGTAACGACAACCCCATAAGCCGCGAAACGAGAAGGATAACGAAATGATCCATTGCTACTAGGATTGCATAGTAGTGAGAAGTGTGAGCTTCATTTCTGCCTAGCTTCTGCGGTCTAAAACCCTTGGCTACATTTGGGGCAGAGTCCGGAGATTATTCTTACAATTACAAT